TGAACACAACTTCTCCAGAACTCAGTCACTTTCTAACCTCGATTATGTTTACAGAAGAAACGTGCAGCAAGGAATAAACCATTTGTTTGTAGGGGTGACACAGGTGACCTCAGGAAACCAGTATTTTTAGATGCAAATTTCAGTAAAATGAATTGATTTTGGGAAGTCAGTAATGGCTAACTACAGAGTCAGCTGTGTAACTAATTCAGAGCCTTGTATATGAGGAGAACAACTTTAAAGTCAGTCCTGTGTGTTACAGGTAACCAGTGCAGAGCAGCTGGAACTGGACTAATGTGTTATCTTGGAGCTGCAGAGTTCTGAATGAGTCTCTATTGTTTTCTTTGGGAGGCCCATAAAAAGTGCATTACAGTAATCCAGTCATCAAGRAATTAAGGCAGAAATCCACTTTTCAGCACCTGTCTGATTTTCAAATGGCAGAACCTTTGCTACGCTTCTAAGGTGGTAAAAATGTACATACATACAGCAGTGACTTTAATAACACCTTTTTTCTTTTTTATCCCACAGTTAGTGTTGACTAACAGTTTACTGACAGCATTCCTGAAAAAACTCCGCAATGTCACTTTCGAGTTCAGGAACAAAGTGGTTGAATCATCTCCCAACATCAATGCCACTGTTGAAATACTCAACAATGTAGCAAACATTACATCATCTTCAAATATCTTGATAAATGAAACTSAAATAGAGGTATGTGAAGGGGTCTSTTGAGATATACTCGACACATGACCTAAACATAACATATATAAAWAATATATATATTGTATTTTACATCATCYAATGTCCAYTTACCTTTCAATTCTCTCCTAGGATATCCTATTCACTTCAGGTGTCCTCACYGAAGATGAGTCAAAGCAACAATGGGATTTTCTAAACACCAAATCCACTGCAAAGAGCTTAGTAACAAATCGTAACGTCCCAAAAGCTAAATCTGCCAGCTCAATATTTTTGCTTTCCCTTGAGAGAATAACTACTAACCTTAACAATAACTCTTTTGAGATTGCAACACCTTTTATTATCTTGAACAAAACCACATTCACAGACAACTTCAGTGGTGACTTTAATTCTTCTGTGGAGATAGACATACCAGAGGCTAATGGRAGAAATAAGTCTATCACTGTGATGACATTTTCCTCAATGGATAACGTGCTCCCACCAAGAGACAAAGTCAATTCAACCCTCAAAGTCATYAATGGGAAGGTCACGCTTGTCCAGTCCAGCGGCACCGTCAATAATATTTCCTTTGCCTTTGATATCATAAACGATACTCTGGGGAACCCACAGTGTGTTTTCTGGAACTTCAGCCTCTTCGATGGCCTGGGAGGATGGGACGACAAGGGCTGCAAGTTGACATTCAACRTTAACAACACCGTCACCTGCACATGCAACCATCTGACCTCRTTCTCCATCCTTATGTCACCMTTTGYTCCTGATTYCCCTGTGTTGGATTATATAACCTATGCTGGAGTTGTCATATCCATGGTCTCCTTGGTTATATGTCTCATCATTGAAGCTGTCATATGGAGAAAAATTCGAAAGAGCAACACCTCCTACTTGCGTCATGTGTCCATTGTTAACATTGCCTTGTCCCTCCTGATCGCAAACATTTGGTTTATTATTGCAGCAGCCATCTCAGACGCGGACGTGAAAAACAAACCAGCATGCATTGCGGCCACCTTTTTCATCCATCTTTTCTACCTAGCGCTGTTTTTCTGGATGTTAGCCTCAGCTCTGCTTTTGCTCTACCGCACAGTCAGTGTGTTCGGTGGGGATTTGTCTAAGCAT